TCAGAAAGAGCAAGCTGAAGATCTGATTCAGAATAAGTTGATAAGTAACTGCGTTGTTGAGACATAATGTGATGTAGTGTCGACGTTGACGCGCTGGTGGGGCGCGACCGATTCGCTTGGGCAACCGATTCGCTTGTGAACCACGTTATATGTATTTAATCTAGCCCTTTTTTTCCCAAACATCTTTACCATCGTGACGCGGCAATAGCAGACTTGAGACTAGATGATAGAGTGAATGATGGAAAAAAAAGTTATTTTGATTACAAACGTCCGATTGGGGATATCTACCATTTCTAAATTTTTCTTTTGTCTCACAGTAGATGCAAATGTAGAAAACGCCGTCCCTCCTCGCTCGATGCTACGTGTTCGATGGTTACAAGTTCAACGTACGTACAGAGAAAAAAACAACAAAAGGGTAGATGTGAAACATCGCTCAAAATATAGTTAACTAAAAGGGGGGGGTTGGATCGAGACAAATGGTAGTTAGTGGGACTTTCGAACATAAGATGTATGTAGAAAAAAACAGAAGTTGCAGGTCATTCGTTTGTCTGGTATAAAAAAAACATGATCCAAAGGTTCAGTGGTGTTGGGGAAGTCGAGACGGTACAAAGAACAAAAAAAACAAGAAAGTTGTGAGGATATTCGTCCTACACAGCGACATCCAGTCCCGCACTCTTGAGTCCGGAGAGAAACTGCTCTTTGAGATCCGCAGTGGCACCATCACCAGCATTCTTTTTCTTCTTCTTCTTCTCGTCAGGCGGCGACTGCAATTGCTGCATCATCATCATCTCCACAGCCGCCATACCCGCTTCTTCAGCTTTACTCAACGCCGCCCCGACCGCCGGCTCATCCTTCTTCTTCCCCTTGGCTTTCGGCGCGCTCTCTTCCTCACCCTGGACCATCTTATCAAGCTCCAACTTGCTAATGCCCAGGGCATAAATTTGCTCTTCGACCGTACCCTTGGTGACGAGTCTGACGACTTCGACCTCCCGAGTCTGACCAACGCGATGAGCCCGGTTCTCAGCTTGGATATCGTCCTGGGGGTTGAAGCTCGAGTCGAAGATGATGACTTTGTTTGCGCAGGCGAGATTAATGCCTGCACCGCCGCTCTTGGTGCTGATCATGAAGAGTTGAATGGATTCGTCTTGGTAGAAGATGTCCATGAGTGACTGGCGTTCTTGAATCGGGGTAGAACCGTCCATGCGCATGAAGTTTATGTCGTGGTCGTCGAATACCCAGCCGAGGATGTCCATGACGGAGGTGAATTGACTAAAGACCAGGGCGCGGTCGCCGTTTTCTTTATACTTTTTGAGCAGGGCGAGGAGTGCAGTGACTTTGCCTGAGTCCATCCATTCCTGGTTTTGGAGCTCGAATTTCTTGAGCGCTCGGTACTTGGTGGCGAGTTGGTGGCATTGGTAGTCTTGGTAGAGCTCGAGCTCTTCGTATATAATGTCTGGGTTGCTCTCGGCAAACATATCTTCTTTGAGACAGGCCTTTGACATTTTCCGGATGGTGTTGTTGTCATAGCGGTGACGGAACAGAAGGGAATGAATAGCTGCTTGGCGGAGCTTCATCATCACGTTAGCATGGTCTTTGACAGCGATGCCGGCAGCCCTGTCCTCGAGAATCTTGCGCTGCTTCGCTAGCTGCTCGTTGTACAGGGTCCTCTGGGTATCTGTGAGCTCACAGTACTCGACGCGAGAAGTCTTCTTCGGCAGGTGCTTGAGCACTTGAGCCTTCTTCCTCCTCAAAATGAAGGGTGTCAACATGGTACGAGCACGCTGGATACGCTGAGCAGACAACAAAGAGCTGTGTGAATCGCTCTCCATGGTCTTAGCCTTGTGTTTGAACAAGATTTGTAACATCTCCTGGACTTCCTCCTGCTGATCGCCGTAGAACACCTGCGGCATCAAGAACCCAAGAATCGACATGAGTTCTTGGAGACTGTTCTGCAGTGGTGTGCCAGTCAACAGAATCCTGCACTTGGTGGGAATCTTCATCAAGCTCTTGTATCGAATCGTGTTGGCATTCTTCAGCATATGTCCTTCGTCAAAGATGCAGATTTCAGGTCTGCACTTCTTGAGAAAGATGAGGTCTTCCTTCCTGAATGTGAGATCGTATGTTGTGATAATTACGTCGCACGTTCCCTGTCTGATGTTCTGGTGAATGCTCTCTTGGTGCGAGAAACGTTCAGCTTGAGATCCGTAGTATGGAGTGAAGTTGATGGAGCTTGAAAAGCGCTCAAATTCACGACACCAGTTCTCTAAAGTCGATCCAGGTACAACAATGAGTGCAGGCTTTCCGCTACCTTCTTCTTTCAGATGCGACAAGAAAGCAATAATTTGACAAGTTTTTCCCAAACCCATGTCATCTGCCAGAATGCCAGAGGTCTCAGTTTGCCAGAGAAGATTGAGCCAGTTAAGACCGACGACTTGATAGTCCTTGAGCTCAATGTCATCATTCATGATTGAGGGCTGCTTGAGCAGTTTTGTACGACCGACTGCTTTGCGTATGCTCTTGGACTCAGTATCGCTACTGGTGCTGCTCTTTGGTGTATGATAGCCGGAATCCCGTGCTGAGTTGGTATCACTATCGTCAAGACTTGTGACATCCATTCCCTCCTCAGTAGACGCGCCGAAAATGTCGATTCCCCATCGTGCCATGCCTGCAACCATTGGTTTTCCAAGTGCTTCACATTGTTTGACAACCGAGTCAATGGTTGAGTAGGCGTTCCACATGCCTTCGGTAGATTCCACTAGCCTTGCACCTGTTGTAATACGCGGCTTGCGAGCCTTCTTCTTGCCTTTCTCGGCTGGTGCAAGGTCTACGTGTATTTTTCGGACAGCATCAAGCGAGGCGAACGGGCGTTCCTTGAATATCTCTTTGATGTCTTCTTCCTTGTGGCTTGACAAGTCCACCATGGCCTCCACAGTGCAAGTATTGAAGAAGTTCAACAAGGCATCGTCGCTGAAATTGTTCTCTGGAGCTGCGCTTGCCTCTGAGTCGTCATCAACTACAAGCTCTGCATCGATACCCTCATCCTCATCTGAAGAGACCGTAATTGGCGCTTGCTTCTTGGATTGTTGCTGCGGTCGTGGAGTGGGTTCCGGTGAGGACGAAAACGCCATCTTCGGCTTGCGATCTCTTCCGCTAACAAGTCGGCCTTTCCGTTTTGGTGCTTCCTTCTCAGGACTGTCAATCACTACAGGGCTGTTTTGAGTCGCCCCCAACTTTGAATATTTGTTCTGTAATGATTGCACAGGCTGCTTCAAACCACGCTGTGCAGTCTTCTTCACAGTCGGTATTGACTTGGTTTGGGCCACTCCAAGCTGTGGAGACCGAAGCAACTCGTCCTCAGACTCCTCTTCTGCCAAGTACGAACATGCATCTGAAAATTCGCCCTTCTTCTTAGTTAAGGCTTCATGTAGCTGCTTCACTGATCGGTTGGGATATATGGCTTGCAACCGCTTTACGTTGCGCTGCATGGCGAAGTCGGTGATATCCTCCAAGGTCATGTTTGAGTCTTCGGTAAAATCCACAGGCAGAGCGCGAGAAGGTCCCCCTTGTCGCGGGAGGGGCTTTTGTCTCTTTGGTGGCGAACTCGAGGCAGGTCCTTCAGACGGTCGTTTTCGCGACTGGTCACCATTATATTTGAATCCAGAGAGATCCCATGTTGGTTTTTGCGGTGTCTCCTCAATCCTCGACGCCATAGAGGCCATTTCAATTTTTGACAGTGGTATATTAGATCTGTACTCGGACTCGTCTTCGTCTGGATCGCGTTCGACAGGGGGATCGTCCGAGGTCAAATCGACGATTGGCTTGCGAACGGCTTGTGGAGGAAAAAAACTTGTACCAGGAGGTGCCATTGGGTTGCTGTAACCTCCATACGGCCGTTGCGACTGGGTTGGCGACATGATGGGCGACGAGTATCGCTGGATAGTGGGAGACGAGCGGGGGACTTGCAACTGCGAGGAGGCTGTGTGTTGGACTCGATTTGCGCGCGGTGTGAGAATTTGTGTGGGCTGCGTGGGTTGCGTGGTATCAGAAGGCGCTGGGAAGAAGGGCGAGTGTTCAGCGAGAATTTGCGTAGGCTGAGTGACGTAAGGATCTTGGTGGTCGTCGTCGTCGCTATGCGAAGTAGCGCGTGATCCGACAGGAGGAGGAGGTGATGAAGAGACTATAGGGTCGCGACGGTACATTGTGTGACAGTGCTGCAGTACCGAGTCGGGTTGAAGGGGGCCAAAGCACTGTCGTTGACTTGGCCGCCTCGCGTGTGGTTACGGAAGAAGACGACGAGTTGGTGACTAGGGTTCAACAGGACAAAACTGAGACAATGGACAATGCACTATAAATCAGCTAACATGGTGCTGTAAGTACGCGTGTGCTATGCAAAAGAGCAAGGAGGGAAAATAGGGTAATTAAAAACCAGTGGCGGCGATCGCCAAAAACATGACTACGCGTGAAGAAAGCACTCAACGCGTTGGGGAGAATCTGGGCGCTTGGACCTCCAGTGTGCCCATTACGTTACTGCTTTTGGCTGTGCCAGGACCAGTCGCTTGCATACTTACATACACCATTGACACCACACAACACTGCTTGCACACATCACCAACATGACGACCAGAAGAAATGTCGGCGAAGGCAAGTCCTCTCTGGAGTACGATGGAAAGATTGCACCAGGGCCATCAAACATTTCACCAGCGGTGCCGACGTGAGTTGTCTTGGATGCTGTGCACGTTACACTGGCTTATGCCGACAGGTCCGTTATTTGGAAGTTGATGAGCTTCACCTTTGCCATGATCACTTTGCCCATTGGTACCTACTTCTTTACCGTCAATTTTGTCTTTCAGGGTAAGCACTTGGCCATGCGTCCAAAGGGGTTGCTGACTCTGTCCAGGTAACGCAACGTACGCCGGTGGTCTTGCAGCACTCATGGCGAATGTTGTATTGATTGCATACGTTGTTATGGCGTTCAAGGATGACCAAGAGGAAATGCGAGAAGAGGCAGAGAAGTCGAAGAAGACAATCTAGCATCTTGTTGTTTGCCTCGTGCATCGAGGGGCCGCTAGGCGGCGAACCATCAACGTCGAGTTTTCTGCGCCGAGTTCCCTTTTGGGCTTTCAATCTGTTTGTTTGCAATCCCATGTTCAGTTCCAATCTTGGGCAATTGATCTCAAGAGGAGTGTCTTGTTAGTTCAAACGAAAATAAAAGTCTCGGCGCGTAGTGCAGCTGTCTCAAGCCGCATCCATTTGATATGAGATTCGATGACCAAACAGGGCTCCCGAAGATGAAAGCAAACGGCTCTCTAATTGCTGTGATGTATCTTGATGCGGGCTGTAGTATTCCAGAGTACACACGTAGTTGGTACCAGATAAGCAGAGTGGCCAGTCCAGTGGCAGGCTCGGGTGCTAGCGCGGGGTACGGGCTTTCGCTTTTCCTTAGCGGCGTAATCTTGGCAGCCCACCTCGAGCAATTTCGTGTGCAGCGGCCACCAAGTGCGAGTGACAGCAGAACCACGACTCGACAACATGGCTCCAGCATCCCTTCTGGACCTCGTGTCCGCGCTCCCCGACACCCAAGCATGGGGCCCGCCAGTCTCCAACGAGACGATGCTCGATGGCGTCCCCTTCGCGCCCTACTCCAAGGCCGACAAGCTGGGTCGCATGGCCGACTGGACTGAGGGCAAGGACCGTGAGCGGGGAGGACGCCAGCAGTATGGCAACCGCAACTACCGGGGTATGTTGGGATTTGGAAAGAGGAAGAGAATCGCAAAAGGCTAATGAAATTCCACAGACCAGCAAGTGTACGGTGCAAACCAGCAGACCAACCCCTTCGCTATCCAGGCCGCCGAAGAGGAGGCGACCTTCTCCGTTGTCGACAACACACGAACATCAGCCCGAGGACGCGGTTTCGGACGCGGGGGCGGCACTGTTTTCCGTGGACGGGGTGGTGCGCGTGGCGGACAGGCGCAACGGGGAGGACGGGGTACCTTCCAGCGTGTTGGCGGCCGTGGCGGACAGCAGTACGACAACCGCGGTGGCCGTGGTGGAAGAGGAGGACGCCGCTTTGGCTGGAGGGACGACAAGCCCCAGCGCAACCGCGATGCCTCTGTGCAGGTCAAGCCCGAGTGGAGCGTTATGGAGGAAATTGACTTCTCTCGCCTCAGCAAGCTCAACCTCGACACCCACGAGGGCGAGGACATCGACAAATACGGCTTCCTCTACTACTATGATCGCAGTTACGACAAGCAGCCCGGTGCTAAGACTTCCGAACGCAGACTCAACGTCCTCGATCGTGCCGCCTACAATGTCACTACTTCCAGCGACCCTGTTCTGCAGGAGCTTGCCGACAAAGACGAGGCTACTGTCTTTGCTACCGACAACATTCTTTCAATGCTCATGTGCGCTACCAAGTCCGTCTACTCATGGGATTTGGTTTTCACCAAGAGGGACAACAAGGTATTCATTGATAAGCGCGATGGATCAAGCCTGGACATGGTCACTGTCAACGAGAACGCTGCAGATGCGCCGCTCGAGATTTCCGAGGGCAACAAGGACTCGATCAACAGCCCAGGCGCTCTGATGCTCGAAGCCACACACATCAACAACGTCTTCCCTCTCCAGGTTGTTACCGAGTCCGAGACCAACAAGGTTAATATGCCCCACGAGCACCCCTTCTACAACGAGGAGGTCGAGACCGACCCGCCAGCGTCCAAGGCATACAGGTACCGCCGATTTGACCTGTCTCTGGACAAGGACGAGGAGCCACTGCACCTGATTGTCCGAACTGAGCTTGATGCTGTTGTCAAGAACAACATCAACGGTGAGGACCAATACCTGACCATCAAGGCGCTCAACGAATTCGACAACAAGGCCCAAGGAGCCGGCGGAGCTTTGGACTGGAGGACCAAGCTTGCAAGCCAGAGAGGTGCTGTCCTTGCTACTGAAATGAAGAACAACTCTTGCAAGCTTGCTCGATGGACTGTCCAGAGTATCCTCGCCAAGGCTGACACCATGAAGCTCGGGTATGTTTAACAATTGTTCTTGCTGAGAAGCTGCTAACAAAGGTCTAGTTTCGTATCTCGTGCCAACCCCAAGAACAACAATGACCACGTCATCCTCGGTGTTCTCACCAACAAGCCCCGCGACTTCGCCGCTCAGATGGCGCTCAACCTCAACAACGGATGGGCTATCGTCCGTACCATTGTCGATATGGTCCTTCGCATGGACGATGGCAAGTACGTTCTTGTCAAGGACCCCAACAAGCCTCTTCTCCGCTTGTACTCCGTCCCTCTCAACACCTTCGACGAGGAGGAAATCGAGGAGCTGCAGGCGCCTACCGAAGATAATGATGAGTAGAGTCGTGTCGAGCAAGTGGGCATTGTTTCTTTTCTTTCCAGCGATATCCGTAGGGTTGGGTCTATGACTACATGCATGATAGACGATATGTCATTGAATGACAGTACTCAACGTGCGTTGTCTTTATGATACGAGAAAGTACATACTTTTCTTCAATGTGAGACAAATTGTCACTTAATAGGTCAAGCTTTGTTGTCTCGAGAATTACAATTCGATAGATGGGGGCATGCACAGGCCACGGTTGCCAAGCTATCCCAGTTCTCACGCCTGCACCTCCTTTCACTTGCATTCTCAATGTAAACTACACATTATTGATTGTCTATCGCGCACGCCACATGGACTGAGTAGCGAAAATACTATGATGGCTATGCGACTGTACCAACTACATCTGGTCAACCTCAGCCATGATTGATGAACTGTTGGTTCACATCTCTGCCCCAACTACGCGACAAAGCGACCAACTCTACCAGTCTTTGGCCGATGCCTATCTTACATTTGAGGCAAATGTACCTCATCGGGAAAGTTCCCGGCAGCTTGATGTTGCGAATCAATCTGCCCTGCCGGGGTTGAATGATATAGCTCCAGAGCAAGGGAGTTTATTCCGAGGCACCGCGGACACTTCCAACTTATCTATGAGCAAAGATTCTTACGGCAGCTTCCCGTCACATTTATCTTTGAGTGGACTTAAGAATCATGAGAATGCTACCATTCAGTCCAATGAGCATGTACTCAAAGATCCACCGCTCACGCCCGGTCGACTTGCTCAATCAAAGCATGCACGCCATGATGGGAAATACCGAAGAACTCTTAGGTCGAGCTCCATCAAGGGAAAACCGCTAGCGGAAAAGATTCCAGGTACTCCAGGCGATGTCGACCTAGGCTTTGTTGAGGACACGCAGCCGGATACTGAAGTTCTCCAGAGTCAATTACAGGACAGCTATTTGAAGAGTTATGACAATACACCTGCAAATGATACGGATGAAGAACGGATTCAAGACAGCACTATAGAGGCCTTAGTCACAGCAACACCTGATACGAAAGAAGACTTTCCAGAACGTCGACGAAGTATGCGCTTGAAAACGGCGAGTATCGTAGCAGAGACACCTATGCCCACTGCGAAGCTGTCTGCAAAACCTGATGCTATTGCAACATCCCAAAGGCCTGTCAGTTCAGACAGTGCTTTGAATCCATCCTCGCCAGCATCATGGCATACGACATGCGAAGAAAAAGAGCCTGAGGACAGTAGCCAAGTCACTCCACCTATAGATTTCTCCAAACTTCAAATCGACGTTTATCCACCAGAACCCAAGATATCAACAGAGCAACCGGGTACGCTGCCTTCTCAAATCACTCCACAACTAGCAGCACTCAAACAGCAAAATCCGAAGCGTTTCAAGCCAATCAGGATAGTAAATAAGCCGAAACCCGATGATCGTGGGTACTGGTTAATCAGCTGTTCGCATTGGAGTGCGCAGCTTCAACAAGCATTTTGGAACAACATCTGTGAGCAAGTCACAAGTGGAAAACTCGGCTGGGGTGTGATGCTGTACCGAGAAGGTCGCACTTCTCGCTCATTGGGCCAAGTGAAGCTGTACTGCTGGGGAGAGATTGTAGAGCATACATGGTTAGTCTTATGGTTATGCTCTAAGGGGAAAGTATCGGGTTCGAGACTGCAATGGATTGATGCTGATGGAAATGCGGCGTTTTCAATGTCCTGATTAGTTGCATAAATAGTGGTGAGAGTGCTGGGGTATTAGATACCTAGGTTGGACAGCGATCAATTTAGTCACATGCACGCGTTCATGTCGCGCAGACAATCAAAATCACTCTGCAGCTAAACAATCCGCCCCGCGTTGTTCATTACTGCCTCCAATAATCATATTTTGCATCAGGCTAGCTCTCATTACATTTCGACATAATTAATTGTTCATGCATGGTCATGATTGGTATTTCCACAAGTGAAACACGGACGCCAAGCAACAGGTCCAGGGTCGCTGACACGCCCTACACTCTCGGACACGATTCTATTGCGCAATCTTGGCCTCTCGCATAGCCATGTAATATTGCCCTTGAAGAAACAACCATGGCTGCACGGTCGCAAGACGACTTGCACAGGACCGCAAGTTCAGACGCGGGTACCGACGAACGCACGCTTTACGACCACAGCTCCGACGACGAAGGCTACGATGGCAGGCCATCGGGTGAACTCTCCAAGAACGACCACGATATTCTAGACTCGGAGGATGAGCGTGAAAAGCTCCTCACACGAAGCCAGGGCAGCAAAGGCTTCTTGGGCCGCAAAGGCTCAGGCGTCAAGGTTGGGAAATGGGTCAAGGAGAAGGCGAAAGGGCGCAGGAAAGGCAGCAAGGAGGAGTCCAGCGCCCTCATGTATGACATGGAGGAGGGCACCGGAGCCTCGAGCACCAGCTTCATATCGAGAAACTCAGAGAGCGACGAACGACAGTTGCTTGCGAATGAATCGCAGCGAAGGGTAAATTAGGCACCCCTGTGTGCACCCTGAAAACTAACAGTTGGTGTAGGCACAGAGAAAGGGCATATACCGTCGGATAGGTATATACGTAGCCATAATTGTTCTTTTCGTCGTCCTCCTAGCAACCGCATACAACCTTTCTACCCCGCAAGATGTCAAAGACGCTGCCGCCCTGGTATCAAATGGTACTTCGCTATTTGCGCCTACCACAATTCTCATATCCCTCGATGGCTTTCGCGCCGACTTTATGTTCCGCAACCTTACACCCACACTCAGTCAGTTTGTACGGGAGGGCATATCGCCCAAGTACATGCTGCCCAGTTTCCCCAGTGTGACCTTTCCAAACCATTACACGCTCGCGACTGGCCTATATCCTGAAGCGCATGGGGTCGTATCTAATACATTCTGGGACCCGGAGCTCAAGGAGGAGTTCTATTATACCCATCCTGCGCAAAGCCTACAGTCCCACTGGTGGGGTGGGGAGCCACTGTGGGTGACGGCCGAGAAGCAGAATGTCCGAGCAGCAGTACACATGTGGCCAGGTTCCGAAGCCAATATATTGGATCAGAAAATTGCATATGTTGACAAATATAACGGTTCGGAAGTTCTATCCAGGAAAGTAGATCGTATCATGGGCTTCCTCGATCTACCCGGCCCCAAGGATGTCGGTGCGACTGCGCTTACACCTCGACCCCAGCTGATTGCTGCGTACGTTCCCGACGTAGATGGCGATGGTCACACATATGGTCCCAACAGCACAGAGATCCGGGAAACCATCACACGAGTTGATACTATGATGGGAGACATTTTCAAAGGCATCCGTGAGCGAAACCTCACAAACATTGTCAACGTAGTAGTAGTGTCTGACCACGGCATGGCAACAACCGACGCTACTCGTCTTATTCAACTCGAAGACCTGGTCGATCCTGCAGAGCTATCACACACAGACGGCTGGCCTCTCTACGGTCTCCGGCCCAAAGATCCCTCTGCCCTCCATCGCATATACAACCAGATCAAAAACCGTACAGCTGACAATCCCAATATCGAGGTCTACCTTCGCGATGAGAACATGCCAGAGCGATACCATTTCAGCAAAAACAAACGCATAGCTCCGCTTTGGCTAGTACCCAAGACCGGCTGGGCAATCGTTACGAAGGATCAGTGGGATATTGAAGAACGCCAAAAGAATCACGAAGTCTATCATCCTCGAGGTCTCCACGGCTACGACCACGAGCACCCGCTTATGCGTGCCATTTTCATAGCCAGAGGCCCAGCATTCCCGCATGAACCGAACAGCCAGATGGAACCATTCCGTAAGTAGTCATGTCTATCGAACGTGAGATATGCAAGCAGAGAAACACATTCACTGACAACATCTAACAGAAAACATCGAACTCTACAACATAATCTGTGACTCGGTCAAACTTCAACCCGCCCCCAACAACGGCACTCTACGTCTCCCCCTCAAACCAATCGGTCTACACAACGACGACGATTCCACCAACGCATCTGAAAACGAAACCCCTGAGGACCCCGTATCGTCCTACACCCTCTCCCCCTCCCCCTCTCCTTCTTCCTCCTCTTCCCCACAGCCCCTCCCCTCCACAAACCTCGCCGCCATGCCCTCCCTTCTCGACCCCCTCTCCAGCATCACCTCCTTCGCATCCGGTCTCGACACGGGAGCTACACTAGAAAACGAAGCTCCCCCTACACGACCCACGCCTCCTGCTACTAGTTCTACTGGAGGTGGTTCAGCGGATAAAGAAAAGGGCGACGAGGGTAAAGAAGGAAACGGAGGAGAGGACGAGGAAAAGGAACAGAGTTGGTGGGAGTGGTTGACGCACAAGGCGGATGGGATTGAGGAGTGGGTTGATCAGTTTATTCAGGATCATGTCAAGGGAGGCAAAGGGGGTGATGATGGTGGTGGTGAGAAGAATGGGAAGGCGGAGTAGTAGATTGGGGGTTGTTGTCATTGTTGTTTTTTTCTCAGTCTTTCTCGTCCCACTTTCCACTTCCTATTCATGCAAGGGAAATTTGGTTGATGAGATTTAGAAATGGCGTTTTGTTTTGTTTTTCTTTTTTGGAGTAAAAAAAAGGGATGGATATAATAAGGTTGCTTTTATTTTTTTCTCTCCATTTTGCTTACTTTCGGGTATACCCAATTCATATACAGGTAGAAATCGGAAATTGAACCAAGACGCTTTGCCAGTAAAAAAACAAGACTGTCTGGTCATATTTTGAAGAAGAAGAGGATTTCTTTGTTATCGTTAAAAAAAGGTATCATTCATTTCGTTTATATAAATTAAGAAGGTAGGTAGGGTTTGACAGAAGATCTACATGATATCGCACTTTGAGGGCAGTCCGCAAGGACCCTCCTTGTTCTTTTCAGTCTTTTGCTGAGGTTGTGATGAAGGTGCAGCAGCAGGAGTAGGAGCAGCAGCAGGGGTGCTGGAAGTCTTGTCCGCTGGCGCAGGTGTAGTGCCATTAGTCGTAGCGGTCGTAGTTTCTGCCGCCTTCTTTTCGCCCGCAGTACCATCATCTAGTCACTGGTGAGCCTTGGCAACGGCCTCGTAGAAGGCCTTGCCCTGGGCAACGGCGACCCTGATCTCGAGCTCAGAGGGCTGGCGGGAACCGTCACCGCCAGCAAAGGTACCAGCGCCCCAGGCGGAGCCACCGTGAACCTCGTTTAGGTTGGCAAGGTCGGCTGGGAAGATGTTAGCTTCTTGTTTTCGCGCCATCAAGTAAGAAAATGTCTATCAAACTTACCGAATGTGGTCTTGTAGCCCAATGGCACGTAGATGAAGCCGTGGTGGGCGAGGGTGCTCATGGCAGCCAAGCAGGTGCTCTCCTGGCCACCACCCTGGGTACCGGTGGAGACAAAGAGACCAGCGTACTTGCCCCAGAAGCTTCCCTGCTGCCATTGCTTGCCAGTCCTGTCCCAGAAAGCCTTGAACTGGGCGGGGAAGTTTCCGTAACGGGTAGGGATACCGAAGAGGATACCGTCGAACTCCTCGAGGACAGCGGGGTCCTCAAGGACGGGGACATCGGCAGCCTTGGGGCCGGCGTACATCTTCTGGAGGACTTCCTCGGGAAGGGTCTCGGCAACCCTATGTGATTGTTAGACCATGTTGTACTCGGGGTAGAGCGCGGGAGGGCTGCAATTGAGGGGGGTGCGAGGATGTGGAATGTTGTGGAACGTCGGAAGATACATACTGGAAGAGCTTGGCGTCACCACCAGCCTCCTGGATACCCTTGAGCTCAGCATCGGCCTGGAATTGCAGTTAGTCATGTTGTTCTCTCTCTCTCCTCTGTACCACCAAGGTGCTCCACGGCAGCTTGCATGGCGCGAGAGTGTCAACATACCAGCTTCTTGATGTGGCCGTACATGGAGTAGTAGACAATTGCAATCTTGGGCGCCATCTTGAATAGCTAGGGGGTATCAAACAATGTAGAGAGAAGTGCTAGAAGGGAGGAATTGAGATAGAGCTTGCAGATGAAGCTCGAGAAGAGGGGCAGGCCTTGCATCTTATAGTTGTTAGCCCAGCGAGCATGCGCCAGCACGCAAAACATGGCAGCATACCCGATCCCCATCTCTCCCTACATGGCATGATGCAAGCTAGATGTGCCCACGCTGGTCCAATCGTCGCACCTCTACCCCCGTCCACAGAGCCAAACTTTGCCGTTATCAGACCAGCCGATTCCACAGAGCATTGGAAACGCGCAGTGACGCCCCTCCATACCTATCCCAGACGAGTATAGTGTGTCTCCACTTTTCTCCCCGGCGCAGTAGGCGTCATTAGCGTCATGGACCCATTTTTCTTCTGCCTGAATTCTCGATTACATGACTGCTTGGTAAGGATTTGAAAGTCTGTCAACATCGAAGCAGGTCTCCATCCGACAACCGCCCCCTCCCCCTTCCAAGAAAAAAAAACCAATGCATCGCTGCTACCGGATCTCCGGCAGAAAATGGCCCGAGACACTGCGGATATATTCCGAAAGTTAGTCATCAGCAAAGTCGCACTTATGTTATCGCTGTTGTTGTTGGTGGTAGTGCTGCGGCGTTGCATACACACCGACGTATAACAGTGGTTATGCTAAGAACGGGCGCACGGCTAAGCTCCAGATAGAGTAAATGGCGACCGCTCGAGGATTAGAGGAGAGCTTACTGTTGGCTGTGTAAGCACGGAGGGGCACCCCGTACCTTGGGCTTTTCCGTCTTGAGACAAGCAGCTTGGGAGACCGCAATTGCGGGGGCTGATGATCGCCAAGGCGGGAGGGGGAAAAAGCGTGCGGTGAAGATTCTGATAAGGCTGTCTGTCAAGCCTTTTTTTCTCTAAAATTTTCCAACGACACGTCGTCATTGCTTTTTATAGTTGTGGAAACTTTCCCGCGGACACAACGTCAATGTGCACACATATACAAACAGGATGTTGGAACCAAGAAGTGCATACGTAGAAAAACTTTGTTCACTACAGTACAATGGTATCCGGTTATGAACGCTACAACGCTAACAAGTAAAAAACAGACTGCCGTCGCTCAAATGCAAATTCCCTAAAAACCGCTTTTTTTGAAGACATAAAACCCCATGCCTTGATAGTCAAATTTCTCAAACCCTTTGAAATGCATGAATCGAATATGGCTACTTCAGCCTGATATCTCTTGGCTCCAGGCCTGCCGCGCTCATGCATATGATCGTTAATGTCGTAAAACAAGTTGTAGTAATGGTATACAGAAGAAAGGAAGACGATCGCTTTTTTTTGGTCGAATGATCCACATTCAAGTCTGAATGGAATGAAGCCTCCTGTGGACACCAGCCAGGAACTCGGCCTCGTGGATGCGCTGGAACTGCGCCTCTTCCTCTTTTCCGTACAGGCCGGTGCTTCCATAGGGTCCCTTTCCGCTGAACTCGACGTTCTGCGGCCAGTATCCCTCGGACGAAATCTGGGCCAAGGAAAAGTCGCCGTGCACCGCCTGGAAGCCGGGCTCGAAGATGCAGTCTGCGAAGAAGAGCTCAATGTAAAGCTCGCGAGGAATGGCGCTCTCAGCGCGGAGCCGGATGAAGCGGCGCGCTTGCTCCAGTAGCTTCTGCAGGGCGTCGGTAGCCTCGTGGGTAGAGCGGCCGTGCTCATGCTCGCACAAATGCAGGGCACGAACTTGCAAATCACCCGCAAACTTGGCGTCCTCGTTGGAGAAGAGGTGGGAGCACACAGATGGGAGGGAGATGGACAGTGTCTCCAGCTTTGGGCAGTTGCGGAAGGTATCGCAGAGATGCTCACTGTCGCTTGGGGAACCAGGATGCGGGTGCCAGAAGCCATCCTGGGACCGCGGGCTGTGCTCCAGAACGCGGAGTGTCTGGCGAGAAGCCTTGACAATCGCCATGACACCATCAATGGTGATTGATGAGTTGCAGGTCAGATGGAACTCCTCGAGCTGAGTGGCAGTGCGAGCAATAGCGAACAGGTCATTGTCGGTGATGGGCATGAAGGATGTGTCGCCGAAAATCTTCAAGCGGCGCAGTTGGCCAAAGTTGACCGACTGGAGGGGCTCTAGATCGACGAGGTTGTCCTTGTCGGCTGCTTGCTGCGATGTGGGATCGACACACTGCAGCTCTAGAGACTGGAGTGACTTGCCGCTACCCGTCAACATGGCTCGCCAGGCCTTGGCATCCACGTGCCTAATGGTAGTCCACGGAATGGAAAGCGAAGTAAGGTTAACGCAGTTCCTCAAGCAATCGAAAATCATGCGGTCGGTCTCGGCGGTATAGAAGCCATGGACCCACATGCGCTTGATCTTGGAAGCGACTTGGGGGTAGTCGTTGCAAATCTTGACTGTCCGCTTGAGGGAGGCGAATGGGTCACGGTACACAGCCGTACCAGTTGGACGGTCAATGAGCTCGTAAAGCGGGTAGCTTTCTCGCCTATTGGAGAGTTCAGCCCATCGCTGGGTACGGTTAGCATGGCAAGACTAGGCGAATGCTTGGGATGTTGCTTACCTCTCCACCCTTCCAGCGGCGAATGTAGACATCCTTGATCGAGTGCTCCAAAGCCCACTCGTGCCACCTCCAGCAAACGGAACGGAGTGTGGCCGTGGCATCCCACTTGAGAAGCTCTGGGGGAACGGGGCCCCTTACATAGCGCTGGAGCTTGGCCCTCTCTAGTGGCAGGGGCGCTTGCTGGAGTCCAAAGGTGTATGTTGGACCTTCGCGGACATTGGCCTTGGTAACCTCGTGGAGGATCTGGGAAAGGATTTCGTACGGGAAGTCGTTGATGTTCATTGAATGTGCAGCAAGGGTAAGGTGGGTCGATGTCGATGTGGCACAGTGTGCGTGGGTAGTGTAAGTGTGTGGTTGGTGGGTGAGTAGTCGGAGAGGCGTAGGTTGGTTTGGTATATAAAGCAAGAGAGGAGGCAGGCCGTGAGTCTTATAGTCGCCACCAGTGACGGGCGAGCAGAGATTTATTCATCAGACAGTCAACACCAGGCACCGTGGTACGGAGTTAGTCAAAGGCGAAGACTTCCCCAGCTTTGTGCAGCCGCGCCAAACAAGTCGGAACGCTCAAATTTGGCTTCACGTGGGCCAGGCCTTTGCGTTTCGATTACCCCCAGGAAATTCAATCCGCAGGCCACCTGACCACGCATGACACATCAAAATCCTCGGACGAGCCCCCTCGTGCCTGTCTCCAGCCTGCGACTTGCGACCTGCATTGCTCACCATGCCGGACTTCTGTTGCCGATGCATGCCGCTTGTCCTTGGTGGTCAGATTCGTTACCGTCCATCCTCCCTCTCACCACCTCCAAGCCTGTGGCGTCCTTGTCCGCCTCGCCCTCACGCCTCGCCATCCATCTCCTGTATCTCCGCTTCGCTCCGCCAAAACCGCCATCGTCATGATTGCTTCACCCCATATTCACACCGTATTTCCATCCCCGTGTCACGGCTCGCCTGTTCAATAAATGCACAGATGTCCCCATTTCCTTAGCCTCGCGCTTTTCCCCGTCTCCTGACGATGCCACGCCTCGTGGACCCCCTTAAACCTCCGTCTGCAGAATCTTCACGATGCATGGACACTCTCTTCCATTGACACGTATACGTCCCCTCGCTTGCATCACTTGAAGTCTAGCCTCGTCGCCATCGTGCTCGACCTGGGCTGATTTGGTAATTTCTTACGTCTTCAAAACTTCCCCGCCATGCACCTTCTCCACAGTCACGAATTATACCCCTTACGGGAACTACTTTAGCTCACCACTTGAACCGACGACACTCGCATCCACTCTCCAAAACAATCACAAGTGTACGTCGCTCTGTTACTCACTCCACCGACGACATAGACACGTCCATGTAATCCTGAGCACGTCAGGGTCGAGGGCAATTACGCCAACGCGCATAGCAGACCGGTTACTGCATTTACCTGTGCCTCTTGACAGCATCAACCACCATCCCCCCAGCATGGCCAATTCATTCTCCTGGTTTCTATGAGCTAAGGATTGACGCTACCCCGCAAAACTTCTCGGCCCCCGAATAGTACCGGGTCTGGGACTGTCGTACTTGTGGCCACCAGACCCGCGACCTAGCCGCGGCAGGAACATTCCGCTTCCAATCACGTCTGGGATTTTTACCTTTTTTCTTAGCACGGGCTTGTTCTGTTCATCTGTTTAGCGCATACTTAGTTACCTTACCCTGAAAGTCACCGGGGCTGTACAACTCAGCTGACCCCGTCTTCTGAGCCCAGAGCCGCAACACCACCGAGAGGATCGTGCCTTTCCGCTTTTGTCTCCGGCTTCGACACTGGTGAAGCTGACGACGTGCTCGTTTCAGCGGGTGGATCCCGCCTCATGTGCTGGATGCAGATGCCGAATCCGTGCTTGTTGGCTTGTTGGTCGGTGCGGGAGGCCACCTGCACCACACAATGGTCAGGCGTGTCAATCTAACCCAACTTCGGGTCCGCGTAATCAATGCAGTCTGCGGTCGCCCTTGAAGAGACGATCCTTGTCTTTCACCACTACAGGACGGTGTTAACTTTAGCCTGTTAAGTCTTATGGTGCTCTCGAGTATTTGAACCGCCCGAGGCAACCTTCCGTAGTGATTTGGCACCATCCATCACGCAACAGGGCTGACGACACACATCCACTGGATGGTGCAATGCGGATTCTTCCCCACCATACAAAGGGGGGGATTCCTTTGTGATGGAAGCTTTCTTTTAGGTAATTGTCCCGTGTTGATGGTAAGATGGAAAGCCCAGCACGACAGTACCATGGTGCTGCACGGCTCTAGGCATGACGGGAATTCCGTCCACTAGTAACACTGTGCAAGGTGACGGTGCAACACGAGATGGCATCCGGCAAAACCATTGGTGACTGCGCAATCCCGCATGCTGTAGCTTTTTTACTATCCTTATTTCCGACTGTACCGGTGAAACGACATACCGGCATCATTTCTCAGAAAAGCAACACGTCACTGAGCAAAAAAGGTCGCAAGAATCAATCAATATTTGGGTATCTTATCCATCTCGAAAAAACAAACAAACTAGCATGCTTGTCCCACCAGCCCCCTCCTCTTCTTGTTCTTCTTCCTCTTCTCTCAATCTAGCCATGCTGTGCCTAGCTTACCGTCTCCGCATGGCGTTACTCTCAACATTGTTTGCGTGCGCGAGCAGGTATTTGCAGCACGTCAGCGTGTACTTGCACGCCTTTGTCCATCCTTCATCCTTGTTGAGCGCCAGCTTGATACTCTGATCATGGATCCGATCCTTGCGTATCTCGTACGGCATCTTGACGCCCCCGCCGCCACCACCACCACCGCTGCCGGGAGCCCCTACGCCACTAGCATTTGGAGGAGCTTGGTTTTCAACGAATTCGCCCAGCTGCTTGAGACACTCGAGGAAAGCTACCATGGCTGCGTCGAACTTGCGGTGCAGGAAACCAAAGTTGATGGGGAAATCTCCCGACGAGTATAGTTCGAGGCGTTGCTTGGATATCTGTGGTGATGAAGCTGTGGTTGCTGTAGATGCATGTTGATGTCTTGTTGTTGACTCGGCGACGGAAGCCCCTCCTTTGGCTTCTATGCGCGTAATCGTTGATGTGGAGCCCATGGGACAGAGCTCGTAGCCGTCGAACTTGTAGCCTAGACGCTCTGCTAGAGTAGCGAGTAGCAAACAGGTCTGACCCCATGCTGCGTTGATTTCAGGCCAGTCGACATATGGGTTTGGTAGGCGTCCGAGGCGCAGACCGTTGATGGTGGCAAAATGGTTGTCGTGCGTGATGTTGAAGGAATCATTGTAGACGCTTCTTCTCTGCAGCTGGTTCAGCACCTGTGCATCGTGAGCATACCTCGTGGCTAAAGCGTCACGCTCGTTCTGGAACTCGGTCAAGGTCGTGTTGAAAGCGTTTCTGCTCTTCCAGAACTCGTTCTCTTCTTGATCCAGTATCCGCGCTTCTGCTTCCAAGGCAGCAATTTGATTGTCTAGTTCTGCCTTTTCCGCCTCGAGGTTCTCAAGCTGAGTAATGGCGGTGCTTTCGGCCTTCTTGGCTGCTTTGAGGGCCGCTTCGGCGGCTTTGACTTCTTCAGCGCTGGGCACGTCGGTGTTGGCGCGCCGGAGAAAGTCTACGTATGCATCACGCTCTCGGGTTGCTACGCCAAGTCGTTTTTGTAGCCCGTCTATAAGGATCTCGGTGCACTCTACGCATATCGGGTGGTCGATATCGGAGCGCGCAGATAGAATCTCGAACATGCGATTCGTCGTCTCGAGTCCATCTGCTAGGCTCGCACCTCCCGCCGTTCCCAGGCCATTCTTCGCGCCTTTCCGCTTTGTTTTATCATTCGCGTCAGCCTTTGCGTCCTCTGCTTGCGTTTTGCCGTTGGCACTTTGGACTGGTTCTCCAGAAGGCGGGTTGATCATCGACTCGGACATGTGTATGTCGATAAACGACATGGCGGGGTTCTGGGGGCCATTTGGGCTTCGTGATTGCGGTGCGCCCTGGATGTTGCGTCTGTATGTAGGTGTCTTTGCATCTTTGATCGCATCTTGGTAGGTCTTGAGATGTTCTGGAGGGTTTGGTGGACGCGACTGGCGATTTGGCGAGATATTCGGAGCCTGGAGCTGGCCTGAAACTACGGAGTCTATACCGCAATCAATATGAGAACAGGACCCAGAAAGAACCCAGGGGTGGTTGTACCTGTCAACAGCTTGAAGGCAGCCGGGTTAAGCTGGTCGATAGAAGCATCGATGTCTATGGGTGTCCGGCACTTCTGACAGGCCAAGCCGGCTGGTTTTGTGTCGTTCGGCATAATGTCATAAGAGGTGGACCTTCATGCTGCTATGAAGGTGAGGTATTAAGGCGCTGTAGGAGGTGGATGACGATGCGGCGGTTCGTGGTTGGAGATCACCTGCAGGCGGGTGGGGCTCCCCCGGCCGCCGCTAAAGCATGCTGGCTGGCGCCGACGCGTCCCAGCCATTGTCAGCTTTCGCGTCGGGCCAATTAGTGCTTCGTCGCAAATCGTCGCAAACAACCCCCGCCCTTCGCCAACCCACTATCTCTATCGTACCTCGGTCAAGGCCGCCGCTCCTTTCTCACACATCCCAAAGCGCGCATTTATACACCATGGAGCCACCAGCGAAGCGCATACGCATCTGGCAGTCTGTCGAAGTGGACGAGGAGAACGCCGAGTACATCAAGGCGAAGCAAAGACAACAACAGAAATTCAAGGGCCGACTCGAGTCGATATTCGAGAAATATGGAAATATGCACGAGTCAATGAGCGACGAGATCGACATGGCAACCAACAGAGTAGTGGTGGACAGAGGACATTTGCGGAGACTGAAGCGCCAGGTCGGTCGGAAGGAGACTATGTTATTGGACACCCTCGGCTTGGCTGTAGGGAAGGAGTCGAGATATGAGGGTGAAGAGGAGGACGAGGATGAGGATTTACAGGATTCGGAAGATGAATTGGCGCCTACGCAGCCAGTGAAGTCAAAAGATAAGGAGCCTGAACTGGACGGCCAACAAACCAGAATACCAGACGCGCAGTCCCCACGCAGCGATAATACTCCGTCAGTTCCACAACATTTAACTACCCCAGCGACTTCAATACCACAATTCAACGCAATGCAGCCCCCCAATACGCCGAATCCAAATCCGACTCCGAGCCTCCTACCGCTTATTCAGTTTCCACAAACTCCTGCTGGACAGCAGGCGCAGGCTACATTCTATATGACTTTGACACAGGGAATTGGTGAAGTCATCCAAAAAGCTATGGCACAGTCCGGTCTCCTGCCGCCCAACTTTTCTACCCCATTTGCAAGCGCTGCTCTGCCACCGACTACGCCGATGATCACCACAACCGATAAGATCGCACCCGCTACGGACCCGAAATGGTTCTTCCCACCTCTGTCTGCTGCACCAAAACAGGATCCAGTGGCTCAATCTAGCCCTCTTCCCGCTCGTAGAGCAGCCCCGCTAGCTGAGCAAGCCGATCAACCAGTCGTTACTTCGTTACCACGTGAGCATGAAGGAGAGCTATTAGCAGAATCGACACCTCTGGTCGAAGAAGCCGCTCCCTCAATTTCTCACGCAAGGCTACAGGAGAGCTCACCCACTACACATCGCCGTACCAGTCCGCGCGTTGAGGTTCAAAGACGCCGCATTCGTGCTACCAGAAAATATCACTTTACACCAGAGGACGACACATACATAAGCAGAAGAAAAATGGTGGATCACTCATCATGGGTTGCTATCAAGGAAAGCCAGGCGAAATGGAAAGACTGGCCCGCAAGTGCGATCAGCAGGCGATGGGCTTTGATTAAGGATCAAAACCTGCATCTGCAATCGCCAGTTATAGCTTGTTCGAACAATGACGTCCATGACACTGAAAATGAACTGGATGAGCAAGTAGAGGCATCTGTAACACAGTCTCATCATCTGCCAACTCCCAGCTCATCCGAGCACGAAGACGGCCACAGAGAAGCCGCCGAACCAACACAAGCTTTCAAGGGATTTTCCTCAAGCGTATATTATGACGACGACGAACGAGAACTATTGTCTCTAGCTGGTTCGGACGCAGAAGAGGAAGGAGAAGGAGATGAGGAGGTGGTGGTGGTGGAGGAGGAGGAAGAAGAAGGAGAAGGAGAAGACCATGAAATCACTTGCGACGAACAAATGCCAGACGTCCTACCAGACGATAGTATAATACCCTCTATAGAAACGACAACCATGATCGACGAAGACGACTTACAACGAGACCTACTCGAAAGCTTAGCCATGCACGACGCCACCATCACACCCCCACGCCAAACATCAATCCAGATAAAACCCGAACCGATATCACCATCCACACTCACTCGACGCTCCGAAACGATCCCAGACACACCCACAGCCAACGATGACACCAACAACTCCACACCGCACCAATCACCTACAACCACAACCACAACCTCGCCCCTCCTCTGCCAAATCTGCAACCGCACCTTCAAAACACCCCAAACCCTCGCCCGCCACCTATCAAACCCCAGAAACACTCACACGCATCCCGCCCCACCACCACCACCGCCACCATCCCACAAACGCAGCATCTCCTTAGACCTCATATCCTCCCCCACCACCACCACCACCATTCCTAACAACGACGACAACGATCTCCTCCCCCCAACAACCCCCCACATCAAACGCGAACCCAGCACTACCGCCTCCCCCAGCTTCTTCGTCTCAGCCTTCCAAACGCCCAGAGCGGCGGCGGAGAGGAGAAATAGCAAGGCTGGGTCTGGAGTGTGGTCTACGTCGAGGGTGGAGAGGAGGGCGCATGTTAAGCAGTTGAAGCGGGGTTGGAAGGGCGTTGGTGGGTCGCCTGTGGTGTCGTCTGGGTCGAGGGGGAAGAGGAAAAGTTTGGGGGAGTTGATGGGGGGGAGGAAGAGGGGTTGGGGGGAGGAGAGTGAGGAGAGGGATGAGCTTTGTTTTTGAGGACTTGGGGAGGATGGAGTTTGTAGAGTAGAGTAAAAGTGAGGGGGGGTTTTTTTTTTGGGAAGGAGGTGGAAGGAGGCTATGTGAATTTCATGGCTTGCTCTGTGCCTTCTTTTAATGTACATGGGTTTATGTGTGAAACAATCTTTTTCCATTTCTCTCTACTTCCCATGCAGCCCCCCCTCACTTTGTCACTGCCAATCTTTTTTTGCCTCTTCCAGGTCTCCCCCTAATACTCCCAATTTCTTCAAAGCATCCAAACTCCGGTATTTGAATCGAAACACTGCATACGGCATCTCTAGGCTATCCACATACTCTGGTCTCGCTATCGCATGGCCGTAGGGAATGGGTGTGCTGGTATGAACGAAGTGTTTTGTTCCCTTTTTAGAGGTTGCGGCGGCTGTGATGGCGGATTGCGAAGAAGGAGAAGGCAAGAGGGATGCAGGTGGAGGTGGCGGAGGAAAACGCCAGTGAGGTTTCGGGGGCTGGACTCGGGACTTGGTAGGAGATTTTGAACATTTGTGGCGATGAGGAGTAGTGGTATGGCCAGGTTGCTTTGCTTTCTTGTCCTTCTCGTCTTTCTCTTCGTGAATAGCAGGCCGGGACACATTGGTCCCCTTCATCCCACCATTTTTCTGTTCTTTACCCAAACTCATTTCGAGGACGCCTTTTAGCTCTTGAAGCGCTGATGAGTCGTTTTTCTTATATTTCGATTTTGATTTCGACTTCTTTGCATCAGATGGCGGGGTCGGCTTGATAATATCCTGCCATCTTGTAGGTTCTGGGCTTTTATGACCAGTGGGCGGAATAGTCCATTTAATATCCCCATCTTCGTCATCGGAAGTTGAGTACCAGGCGTTCTTACCAGGGCTCTTGGGCTTTTCAGTTGCCCAGGTGGAATCTTGAGACGTGGCAACGGCCCAAGAATGCACTCTGTTGCTGTCCCAAGTAGATGAAGCTATAGAATGACGATCCTTTTCGCCAGAACCAATAGCTTCCCATGCATATTCTTTCGCAGATGGTGCATATGGAGCTGGAAACATGTTACTGGTATTGTTTACGGCTGCAGGCCAAGCTGGAACTCCTGATGCAGAAATACCCCCATAATCATGTCTGCTTGGTCGTCTTGACTGCGTATGTGTTGGGAGCGCGATATCTGGGTGACTTTGAACATCTGGTATCGCTCTTGTGATTGCAGAAGGAGCAGGTATCTGTTCAGAATCTATGCACTTCAAGTTTTCAGCACAAAGCGGATAGCGAGACGAAGTTCGTCCATGATAAGATTGCGTAGACTTCGAGGGACAGGCACGACTCTTTGATCTCTTTCGCAGAGTCTGTATATGACTTCGAGAATGTGACGGCTGTATCGTGTTGTCTGAGCTGCTGGACGAACTTGTAGAGTACGCAGGTGAGGCACTTCCTGCCCACCTTCTGTATTCCAACGAAGTTTCATCTCTCTTGCGGAGTCTAGATTGTGACTTGGAACGTGACTGATGCCTTCTCGATGTATGTGTAGATCGCCGTCGAGGATGTATATAAGAAGATGCTCGAGAAACAATCTGGGCATTAGAGTAAGGAGCTGCAATTGTAGCAAGTGGTATCTCCAATTGACTCGAATCCTTCCACTCCCTTCCTCTACTCGTCCCCCAAGTTTCATCAGTATCCCAAGAATCTGACGGCGTTTCTTCGCACGAATGCCACCCATTGCCATAGCTGGAGATTTCTGTCTCCCACAAATGATCTTCGCTCTGGTTTGCATGGGCTCCTGTTTTGCTCTTTATCTCAACCTGGCCCCACCCATTTGGTGACTGGACCCAATCTGATGCTCGGTCACTGCGCTGATTGCGTTTGGATGGTGATGCCCTGAAGGAATGCGGTACCTGCACAGTTGCAGTGTGTGGAGATTCTGGCCATGCACCAGGGGCCTGGCTTGTCTTGTCTTCTTTCTGTGATGAGTGGTCTGAATCTCTGTCATGTCGTGCAGACTGGGCTTCTACCCGTCGTGACTCCTCTACGCCCTGTTTGACTGCTGTCTTCAACACATTTCTCAGCCACACAGGGTCGACACCACTTGTTTCTGGAGTCGTAATCATATGATCGTCGCGATGAGCAACTTTTCTATCGGGTGGAATAGGTCCGCTACCGTATTGGAAGCCCGAAGAGGGAAGGCTTTCTAAGCGTCGTGCCCGCGGGCTCATCGCTTCCGAGCACCGAGATCCGGACGTCGAGTGACGTGTCATAAATACTCTTGAACTTTTGTCCCGTACGGGGAGAGTGTTGTATTGAATATGTGTCTTGGAGCTCTCGTGGCTCTGCAGTGTTTCAGCGTACGGCGCGCGATATGACGACCAAGGCGCTGGTGGACCAGAGATATTGTGGGAATTATCGAGAAATGGCCCGCGATCATCGTACATGGATCGATTGTGGGAGCTTGGTGAGTCTCCTAAGCTAAAACGATGGTCAGGCCAGTCACCAGCGCCGTCCAAGTTGATCGCCGAAGCAGATTTTGTGTCCCGACTACCAGCGCATCGCAGCACTACAACTTCAATACATCCTATGTTGTCAAGAGTGGCCGGTGAGTGCAGGTTCGACGCATCGTCCGCAGACGCTGCTGCTGATCAGTTACTGCCACAGAAACACCATATCGCAACTCACCAATATCCAAATTATCAAAAGTCCACTCGCGCGCAATCATAGACCCATCCTTCTGTCTCTCCTCTTTCTGACGCACCCTAAAGTCCACCAAAGAGCGACTGTCTGACAGTTTTCGGGGCTTGATGTTTTGCCTGTTGCGATTGCACTGATAGATACCGTCAACGTAGACAAATATCGCGATGCCAGGCGCTATGAATGTGTTGGATGTGAGATGAATGGAGAAGGATTGTGGCTGGTTGGGTATAGGTACGAATGTCTCTACGAAGCCGTCGCCGTAGATGGTACCATACTCTGGTAATGCGTGTTGGGGTTGTGATAGTTCGATGCTGCAATTGAGGTCCTTCAGCGACGGCATTGTGAAGAAGAGTTACTTTGAAGGTTTTTGTGGGGTGTTTGCTCGCCGCTGAATGGGGTGAAGTCTTTGGTGTTACGGGGATGTCCAGGGTGAGGTCAAGTAAAGTGAAGGCTGCTTGGCAGTGACGATCGAGGACTCATGAGGAAGGAACGTCCACGGATATGTCTTTCACTGGTGCAAAGTATTCAAATACCTTTTTTCAAAGGCTGAGACTGCCTACAAGAAGAACTGGCGGTTGTCTATTCACAAATGTGTCATGTTCACATATCCATGGCTCCTATAAACACGCTCCAAAAAACGTATATAGCGTTCAATCGTAAACAAACATTGTCCCCAGGTCACATATCATGGATATCCAACGAGATTATCCATAGACCAAATGCAGACAGCCGCGCCATCTCTTATCCAAAGTAAGTGGCACCATATTTGACATGTGTTGTTTACCTGGGTACACCAACACACAGTCAAACGATATCCGTGTCTTATGCCAGACACTTGTATCCAGATTGCATGAGCCCTCTCGCATAAATTTTACAACGCTTTTGTTTATGCCCTACGAGTCCGACTTCATCGTTCCGCAAAGCGAACAGGTCCACCATTGATTTTCCTGTAACCAGTCAGCAACACAATTCATACAAATTGTATTCTAGAAATAACCTTACCATGAAGGTCCCACACTCGAGACAGTTCCAGCCTATCCTGCCTCTTGCAGGTTCAAACGGCGTGGCACCCTGCCCTCGCAGTCCAGACTGCGGCGGTGGTTTGGGTAGAGTAGGTACCGTATATGACGATGCGAAGCGTTTATGTTCTGGTATGGGCTGGGGTGGCTGTTCGAGGCCACAGGCACCACAAGCAAGATAGTCGAGTGGGTTGTGTAGCGTGCATTGCGGACACGCCCACTTATTCGGGTCAGTGGGGAACGTGACAGATTGCTGTGGCGGAGATGGCCGCGGAGATGGCCGCGGTGGTGTGGGGGGAAGACGCTTGTTCCGTCGTTGCTCTTCGTCGTATGAGATAAGGCGCGAGGGTGTCCTTGCGGATGTTGAAGGAGTACGTGTTAGTGCTTTTGATGACGTTTGCGCAGTTGATCGTGGCAGAGGTTGGCCTGGAAGAGGGTAGGTTGTGCTGCGTGTATGGTGAGATTGATTTGGTAGAGCTGGCGAGATGCTAGGGGAAGGTGGTGCACTGTCGAACTGTAGTCCGTTTTGAGGATCCCAACTTAGCCCACCGTTTCCAGTCGGGGCGCCTAATCTCTGCATTTCTTCGTCGTACATGAGATCTTGCAGGGCTTGAGCAATCGCCCAATCATTGGCATCGTCTTGCTCAGCTGTGGTGCGGAACCTGTCCTGCTCTTGCTGATTGACCTGGTTGACTAGCCGCTGAGTCTCAGAGCTTCCGCTTGCACAACCTTCGGTGATGCTGTTTCTGCGTGAGGCCGCGTCTGCGATGACTTTACGCATATCAACACCGCGTGCTGTAGGCCGTGAACCACCTAAGCGATGCCCTCCTGTGCTGGCGTCGGTCGACGTTCGTCGCTTCTCAGCAGCGACCCGAGCCTGGCGGCGCATCTCGTCGAGCGGTATGCGCCTACCGCCAAGTTTTTGGCCTTGCGTCAGGAATCCCTCACCAGTGTAACCCTTCGCAAGAAGAGACTGATGCTCCTCCCGAAGTTCGTTCCAGAGATTGTTAAAGTCGACATTGTGAGGGCCAATGACTATGTGGCAGAGTTCATGCAGTAAGGTATCTGTGACTTGCTCCAGGGACAGAAACTGCCTGGAATCATAGTGATATCTCAGCCGGATCAGGATCCTCTCTGTGCGGTTGATGTTAAGGCCTGGGAGCCAGTCAGTCAAGTATCTCGGGGGCGGCTTCCGCCCTCCTACCTAGCAGTTGAGGCTCATCAGGAAGGAACTCGGCAAGTATTCCAACCTTCCAGCCTCGTTTCCTCATCATGGGTTTGACCATGGACGCAGCCTTACGGAGGGTATGCAGCGCCTCGCCATCTCGTGGAAGGTGTTTCAGGTGCTCATAGGCATCGAAATGCGCATCAATTTCCCTCATGGTGTGGCGGTGTTCCTACAAGTCAAGGCCGTGCACTTTGAGTTGTTGATGGGTCGTCCTTGGATGCAGTGCAGGGTCCTCTCTTTCGTTGTGCTGGCAGGCAATTTTTATCAAGGAAATGCAAACAGCCCCTGAAGGGGCGAAGAAGCAGATGAATTAAAAAAGCCAAGATTTGCTAGGAAAGGGCTTGAGGATACCGACAGCCACGTAAGCAGTTCACGCGTTGTTCTTGGTGGTTGACGACGACGATAGCGCCGGACGGAGTCAGTCTATGCCACCAGGCACGGCTATTTACAGCCTATTATTGTCTAAGCGAATGTGAAGCACGAGCGAGTGCAGATAAGGCCTGCAGCTGCAGGCCTATAAAAGGGACCGTGTCCACGAGAGAGAAGACGGTGGCGCAAAAGCCACTGGCCCTCACGTGCGACCGTGTCTGGGATGGCCGCGCGAGTCATTGGCCGGCTTGACGTAGTGCACTTGTGTGCTTGCGACAACCTCTGGAGGCGACATCTGGCAAAGTTTGAAGCACCGCCTGTTGGAACAAGTTTGTTTTTTAAGCTTGAACACGTTCTGAAACCTGCCAAAGCATGTCCAACAACGACCAGCAAGTCCTCGGCGTGGTGAGTGGGACGGCATTTTCCATCTGCTCCTAGCTGACGTATACAAAGCTGGCTGAGTACTCTAGAGACGTTCGCAACTTCACGGGATCGATATGGGACGCAACAGATGCGCATTTTGCATATGTAGCTGGATATATTAAAAAGAGCCTCCCCGAGACATGGCTTCCGGAGCGCGCGCGACCGCGGCCACCACCTCCACCCCCGCATCCTATTGCTGGCGCCTACCTACATCGCCTCCAGGACTGGGCCCTCAGGCACCGCGCTTTGACAGCCGCCATTATTGCATTCTGTGCGACTGGGGGATTCTTGGTATGGCAAGAGCAGAAGCGGCACAACCGTAAGCGCCGAGCGAAACGAGCGGGCAATGGAGCGAGGATGGAAGTTGTGGGTGAGTATGCGACACAGTCAAGCCTAGTTGGAGGATGGAGCTGACAGGTACAGTCCTCGCGGGGCCGCCAAATTCGCCCATTGTACGATCGCTATCGCTCGATCTTGAGCGACGCGGCTTCATTGTATACATTGTATGCTCCAATATGGACGAGGAGCAGCAAGTTCTAGGCGAGTCAAGGGCCGACGTGCGGCCACTGCACTTGGACGTAGTCGACACAATGGGCACGCAAGAGGCCATGAGGCGTTTCAATGAGCTTCTCACCAAACCACATGTTGCCTTTCCCGGGGCAACCCCGCATAACCTTAATCTGCGTGGTGTTGTTCTGGTTCCTGACTTGATCTACCCTACTGGCCCTGTAGAGACGGTCAGTCCTGAGCTCTGGTCGGACGCGCTCAACGCCAAAGTGCTCAACACGATTGCAGTGACGCAAGCGTTGCTGCCGACAGTGTGCGAGTTCAAGTCGCGCGTCCTAATGCTTACCCCAAGTATCATTGCGTCATTGCGGCCGCCGTTCCATAGCGTGGAGACGACGATTGTCAGCGCACTCGAAGGGTTCCTGGCGTCGCTCCGAGGCGAGCTGGGTACCCTAGGCATTGAGGTGTTGCAATTTCATCTCGGAACATTTGATCTGACAAACGTGGGCCCCAAACATCATGTGCAGTCGCGGTCGATCGGCAGCCCACATGCTTGGCCAGCAACGACGAGAGCGTTATACGCAAGCAATTTCGAGGCCCAAGCACGCGTTGCGCAGAGCCGGGGCCTGCTCAACCAAAGCGGCAGCTCAGTTCGGGAGCTACACAATGGCGTGTTCGATGCGCTCACACAGCGACGACCGCAAAAAGTATGGCGTATTGGGCGTGGAAGTGTCACGTATGATCTGGTGGGCAACTGGGTGCCGCGTGGGCTCATAGGATGGATGATGGGCTTGAAGCGCGTGGCTCTCGACACTGCATCCAAGCCGAGGCTGGAGGACAGCGTACAACTACAGTGCTGGGAGAAGGTCGATGCGGTCGCCTAGACGGAACGGCATACGAACAGTCTGGGGTGACAGGATGCAGGTGCATGGCAGATGGCGTGTGGAGGGAGGTTTGATGACTATCCACGTCATAGTCGGACTGTGCTTGCGGGAGCTACAGGGCGCCATGGCACCGGTGTGGACAGTGAAATTGCAGCGCACACGTGTGTTGTTATTTTTTTCAGCTTGTGTGCGCGGTGTTAGGTAATGGCGGATGAGCGATGGATTGAGTTTTCCTTCAGCATTGGAGGAGCAGCGAGATGAAACCCGGGTTGGAGAAGGGGATGGGCTTGGCGGCGGTGATGGGCTAGCGGCGCCCCTGCAGGGTTCATTCACGAGCAAGTGAGCAAGTGAGCAGGTGGTGGGTTAGTACATAAACGTAGCGAGGCGAGCAGTGACAGCCGGGCCCCTTGTGTATAGGTTAGACGGGCTATTGTCTACAAATCTCAGCTCTCGACATCGGGCGTTGCAAGAACAGTGGTTCGCAGGATGGGCAGCAATTTAAATGAGCAAAAAAGTTCTGGACCGTGACATGGTGCTCGGGTGCGCGGGAGCAAATGAGCAGCGGCAAGGAGGGCGCGACGACGGCATTTTGGCAGTGCTAATGATTATTGGCGGCCGTGGCCCAAAGCGGCCACGAGCCGACGAGGGCGACTACGCGTGGTGCTAGTGAAACGAGGCAGTCGGAGCCGTGGGTGCTGTGTCGCAGGTGTGGTGGTGGGGGTTTGGCAATGAGTGAGACGGTGCTGTGTGGCATGGGGGCCTGATGGTGGTGGGCGTTGTCCTGGCATGGTGGTGGTCGTAGTGTAGGCAGTTGATTGACCATCATGGGGGGACAATACAGACAGCATGATGACGCTCATGTCGTATAGACAGCCGCCTACTGCACGCTACACACCAAGTACATTGCCGTGGTCATGCAGCAATAGGGAAAGGCGGCGCGAAATGTCAATAGTGAGGGCCGTATAGGGCGGCGGTGGTGGCGTCGTGTCACGCTTCACGGCGACTGGGGGCGGCGGTGGCGCAGAGACCACACCGTTGTCGATGCAGGGCCGACTCGTAGTAGCGCGCCCAATTGGTGACGGCTTTGGCTCCCTCTCTCGCACCGGGCTCCACCGCGGGTTTCAGGAGGTGTAGGTTTGGCTATTATTGCCCTGCAACAACTGCCAAATACACTACACTACAATACCCACCCGAGCCCCGACTCTTCACACCACCCTCGCCTCCCGCCCGGTCTTTCTCGACGCCTGCCGCCGTCGTATCCGCTCCTTCGCGCTGCTCCCGCTGAGCCTTCAAAGCCCGACAAGTCCATGATCGCGTCACATCCTTCTGCTCCTCCTCCCCCCCTGCAGGCACAGCCGCCGCCGTCATCGCCATCGCCATTGCCATTGCCATCGCCAGCCTACTAGAAATACTACCTATTACATTTGCCCGATCCGAGGCGGCGCGCATGACAGCCCGGCCTCATCAGCCCTTTGCTGCCGATTCCATGCACCACCCCTGCTGAATTGCCTGCCCTTTGCTCACTGACTGCTCACTCCCTCCCGCCTTCACATACCATGGCAAACCGGCAGCAGCGCCCGGGCGGCCTCGACCTCCGCTCCCAGTCGTTTGACCCTTCCTCCACCTCCACCTCCAACAACGCCGGCTTGTACGCAAACACCAACAACAGCAGCTCTGGCTTCGGCAACATCGCCAGCGCCAGCGCCAGCATGAGCAATCTGTCGCTCATATCTGACCTACCCAGCCCACGCACTGGCGAAGCGCCCCCCGCTCTCTCTCCCCTCGACGCCCTCGCCCTCCAGGGCAGACTGCTCGCAAAGCGCTTCGAGCAGCAGGACAAGACTGGCCGTCGCCTCAGCCGATTGGCCCCTCTCACCATCCAGAACGAGTTTGGCAACCGCCCTGGATACTTTTCCTCTCTCTCAAACTCGACCGTCAACTCGCCCAACGAAGATGCAGGTCCATTCAAGTCCCCACGCCCCGAGCCGTCTCCGCGCCAGGAAGTCATGGAGAGGCACAAGTCCTGCTATCCTCAGTTCGGCAGCGATGAGTTAGAGCCCCAGTATGCTGTCGGCCCTCTGCAAAGCCCCATGGCCACTATTGCAGAGGCCAGTCCTGCCACTCCGCCCCGCGGCTACTTTGATCTGCCCAGGTCTCACTCGCCCGAATCTGTCGAGCCTCAGTTTGGACTCCGCGAAGCCACGCCCGTCACTCCCAATGTCCCGGCTCCAACCTCGCAAATGTTCCTGAGCCCGCAAAGGAAGCCATCCGGTGACTCGCAGCACCAGTCGCCGCACAACCGGTCCAACCTGCACCCACCCCGATCGTCCAGCTCCTTGCGCTCCAATCGCTCTCCACACCTGTCACCCAGCGTCAGGTCTGTACATGGCGACTGCTACGGTGAGATTGAAGACATGTCGTTGAGCGGATCATACGACTCTCTGCACCAGAACCGTAACCTGTCTCCCAGCTCCAGCGTGTCTAGAGCCCATTCCCCCGTCGCTCCTGCTGCGACACACAACATGTCTCGATCACCATCGGCAGCATCTGATTATTCTGTCGGCAGCGCAAACCTTCCACGTCCAGCCTACAACTTCTCAAGGCCCATGAGTCGTGGAGGCTCACGTCCATCGCTGGATGTCAGGTCCACCGACGGACCGTCGCGCCAGGCGTCGGACGACAGTGCGTGCATGAGACCCTCTTTTGACAATCAACTCCAACAACAAGATTCGAACGATGCGCCCCTTGCGAACTACGGTAACGAGACCGTCCACACACCCGTGAGCATGGCTAGCGAGGACTTCCGACGATCGGGCGATTTCACTAACAACCCGGCACCATCGTACACTTATACCAAGTTCAACCTTCCTCGCGGCAGGCCTGTCGATCGTCGGTCTGTCGGCGTTGAGGACTTCCTCAACAGCCAGATTAAGTGGGATCAGCCCAAAAAAGCTAACCAGGCTCAGGCCCGGCCACCCTCACCCGAGTCGCCGCCGCGTTCATTTAACCACGGCGCACCCTCTCTTACATCTAGCAACAGCACAATCCGCCCTCGAACTGCCGGCTCTACTAGCGACTTGACTCCCCAACAACATTGCGACATGGGTATCGAACTCCATGAAGCAGGCGAGCTCCTGAAATCCACCTACCATCTCCGTCTTGCAGCCCGCGCTGGTCTTCCCGAAGCCATGTTCTGGTATGGCCTGGCCTGCCGACATGGCTGGGGCATGCGTGAGAACAAGGCCGAAGCACTGCAGTGGCTGCGACGCGCCGTCGACTCTGGACATCTGGAAATCGCCGACGACGAAGATCAAACCAAGAACGGCCAGCCCACCGATCAGTTAAAGAAGAAGAAGCACCGCGCCCAATATGCAGTAGCCATCTACGAGCTTGGAAAATGCTACGGTAACGGCTGGGGATGTGCCCAGGATAAGTCGCTTGCTCTTCGCTGCTACGAGATTGCCGGAAACTGGGGCGATGCAGATGCTCTCGTCGAAGCCGGTTACTGCTATGCTGAAGGCGTTGGCTGCAGAAAGAACATGAAGATGGCTGCCAAATTCTACCGCGCAGCCGAGGCCAAGGGTGTCAGCATGGTTGGCAACAGCTGGATCTACAAAGACAAATACATGGACGACGGCTCCTCTGCCTCGGACGCGCGCTCAGTCCGATCTGGCCGCTCTACCACCAAGGACCACTCTGAGAAGAAAGCTCGCGACAAGAGCAGGACTCGCGCCATCTTCAGCCGCAAGAAGAGCGTTGGGACTCAGTCTTGATTGTCCTCTCTCCACTCCTCATCATCCTCCTCTTCCTCCTCACACTATACCTTGTAAATGTGTCCACGACTATTTTCATATGCGTTTGGCGACGGCGTCTAGGCGTAGCGACTCGGGTTTGTCTGATTTTTAGTCTTTCATACTTTGAGGGGCGTGTGTGCTTTCGCGGCCCCCCCGGTGTCTCTACTCTGCCTTGCCGCTTTTGGTTTCCAAAATGGTTTCCATCTCGTTTTTTTCCTTTCATTTCTCTTTTTTTCCTTTTTCCACCTCTCTCTGTTATATTCACGAATGAACCTTGCCTGGTGCTTGGGCTTGAACACCTTTTTCGTGGCTTGAAAACATGCTGCCTCTTACCTACTATACTCCTGTGTGTATGTGTGTGAATGTTTTGAAATATTCATTCGCCACATGACATTACGTTCGAAACATCCCTCTTCGACATCTTGAACATATCTGTTTTTTTTTTGCTCTCTGATTTTTTTATTTCCTTGCGCTTGTCTTGTTTCTCTTTTTGTTTTCATTTTCCTTCTCTCTTATTTCCTTACTGTTCTGGTTTTTTTTCCTTTGTTTATACCACTGTTGCGTCATTTCGGTCTACGGGACCTTTCTACTTTTCCTTGTGTTTGCAAAAGGGTAGAAGGAGTGGAAAGGCTTCGAGAAAAATCATCCTTTCTCCCCCTTTTTTCCTTTTTGCTTGTATTCTAAAATCTAATACCCAAACTGGGGAGAGAGTTCTGGTGGAAATACCTGACTAGACTCCCTTGTTGGTGTTGTAGGGGGGGGGCGTCGACAATGGGACGAGGAACTTGGTTTGAAATTTTCCTTGTATCATCGGATTGTTCATTGTCTGGGGGTGGGGGAAAGGTGGGCAAACATGAGAACACCTTACTGTGTGTGGGGGGTGGTGCATAGGTTGGATTGGGTCAGGTTTAGGGGAGTGTACGATAAGGTTCCGCGTGAAAACGGTGCTTTGCGACTTCTTCCTTTTTTTTCCCTGTCTTGTATGTAGGAAATACCAAAGAGGAAGATTTTTAGATGACTGTAACTGGTCACTATCTTCTTGCCAAATACCTTGTTGTGTCTTTCTGGGTGATTGGATCTTACGTCAACATGCATCAGTGGGGGTTTCTCCGGGACACCCCAAAAATCCTTTTACCACGATGCCAAAGACTCCGCAAGGTCAAGAGTTTGAACCTCCTCCCTCTTAAAAAAAAACTGAGAAGAATCTCCTTGAATCTGTCAGAAGATCATCTTAGTATCTAAACTACATTTCTTTCAGATTCTTTTCTGATTTGTAAGAAGGAGTACACGTGGATCACCTCTTATAATGTGCTACACGCATATTCACAGCTGACCCTCACAATCGGCAAACGAAACAAGAGCAGATAAGGTAGATTATTCACAGTTTTGCTCATTTGCAACAGCCCAACTGGCACTACTACATATATACAGACGCTCCCCCTTTTCACTTTTCACCCTCTCCTTTCCCGCATCCCCCACTCTCATCTAACACTTCGAGTTGGTCTGGGTAGCAAGTGCCAGCTTCCATGGCAGCGCATTGTAGGTGCCAGTAGCATTGGGGTCAATACCCTGGTACAGGTACCTCATCTCACACGGGCGAACCTGCAGCCTCTGGTCGACATTTGTGCGGACCAGCTCGCCATGGGACAAGCTCTGGGACCAGCGGCCACCGGGGAACTGTGTGTTGGCGGCGCCAAGGAAGGGGGTCTGCTGGGAGGCGGCAAGAGGAGTCCACTTGTCACTTGTGAGCGACTGGGTGGTCCAGGAGCGGAAGTAGCGCAGGCCACCGGGTGAGTTGCCGGTGCCGATGCACTCGACGACGAGGAGGTAGGTGTTGGTGTTTGCGATGTTGTAGACGGTCGAGGCTTCGAAGAGGTCGTTCTTGGCAGCCTTGAGCGTTACGACGGGCTCGTTCATGCCGCGTGGAAACTGCGAGACGGGCGTTTGGCTGCGGTAGAGACCGCCGTTGTCGTCGGACGAGTACAGGTGGCAGAGGGCGGTGTCGCAGATGACCCACATGTCGACCCAGTAGCCAGTGGATCCTAGACCATTTTGGATCGTCTGGGGGGTGCCGTTGGGGTAGAAGACTTGCGGGGCGGTCCAGCCTTGTGGGTTGGAAATGTCGGGGTTGGTGCTGTATGCTGCATTGCCGTTTTGGTAGACGAGGTACCAGAGCTTCTGGGGGGCGAAGTAGACTTTTAGAAGTTAGCATTATATAATTTTTTTGGGAGTGAAGGGGGAAAACATACAGACTTGAGGAGCGGCACGGTAACCTGTGCCGATACCTGACTGGTCAAGGTAGAAGAATGGCGCCTGGTTGGCCTTGCTGAAGTCGGTAAAGTTGAAGTAGACTAGGTTGTAGCCCTCTGCCTTGGCCGTGCTGGCAAAGACATGGTATACACCGTTGTTCTGGATAATCGTCGGGTCCTTGATACCCGCAATTTGACGGCTGTCCTGCTTGGGCGACACGAGGACGCCGCTGGATGACCAGGTGAAGGTGCTGGGCAGACCGCCGTTGTTCTGGCGCGTCTCGAGAGCAGCGTGCTCATGCAGAGGGAGACTGCGAGCGAAAACTGAGGCTGCAAAGGCAGCGCCGGCGAGAAGGAAAGAGCGCATCGCTACTTGTTTCTTGTTCCAATAGGCGATGATCCAACTTTCACGTCGATAGAAAGCAATTCATCGATCCTTTATATACTCGGTAGTCGATTGCCCGGGGCACGAAAAGCTGGGGTATGCCCATGTGGGTCCGGGGAATAGACTTCTTGCAGATGGGGTAATATAATCTTGGTTTGTACTCCATAGTTTTTCCGTCTTCGCTGGCGTGCTTCTTGCCCCTCCAGGCACTATTGTCCTCCGTTTAGCGTGTCTGTGTGTGATGCGCTAGCATGTTCAGGCTGTTATCACCTGAGAAGATTGGTCGGTAGGAAACCATCCAGTTCCTACTATTGTAGAAGGTCAAGAAATCGTCTTTACATTGAGTTTATTACACTGAGGTAATTGGATGGGATTTCCTTATATGATGCAACCAAACTCGGCCCTGTATCTTGGTAGGTGGAATGTTTCCACTGTAAGAACGTTATCGGTCCCCGGCACATCGGTTCGAGAGAAATATGAAAAGCCGTAGAGGCTGCTAAACGGCACTTTCTCTGGATATTGGGCGATCTGGAGTTGTGTTAGTATGACAACATCCCCTGCTAGTGACCCACATTATGCACTTTAGCCTTCTGCTGTCATTCGTAGTGTCATTTGTCGCGCAGCTCATAACCTCGCCCCAATTGCTCTAGATGAAACACAAAGCTGGTCGCGAGAATCAAGGGTGTTGGCAGCGTTGTTGTTGCTCTACAACTTTGGAGTTCATCATCAGCAACTCTGTTGTACAGTGTTGTCGCAGCTTCCATTCCCCGCGTCTATCTTTGGGCCACCGGGCCGATCGCAGAAGCCGGAGAATCGAGAAACGTCTTAGGACGGAAAAACTATACGTCGAACCGCATTTCATCCGGTGGCTAACAATCTGGGGATGGTCATGAGCGCTGCTGTATGTAAAGCAAGCACATGCTAGGCAGCTTGGTCTATGTTTACTTATGGAAAGATGCCTTGGCCCTTGTGCTTGGCGTGCACGTGGTCTTACGTCAATTGTGCTCATTATAGTATGGATCATTTAAACTTTGTGTAGCCTCTAATGGATGCACCTGCAGGTCCCAACTCACATTCCTGGGCATTACTAGGACCGGTATAAGTCTCACAAGTGAAGGGCACCAGTCAGATGGCGAGGGAGCTATTATCCACCGTCCGAGCACTCATAATCGATCAAAAAGCCAGGCCATCTTCTTTGGCACAATAAAATATGGATATTTTACACCTTGAAAATGTCCATTCGTATTGAGACTGTGCATGCATATCGTTTTTCATGTCATGGTGGTCTACTTACTTGGGGTTAATACTTCGATATGGCGCTATATGCTGACCACCAAACAGCAACGTTGTGCATTGCATCTTCTTGCGTCTTTCTCCATATGTAGCTTTAATATTCCACCAACGATAAGCATCGCACAGATAACGGGGTTAGTGAAAATACACTCAAGGTTGCCGTATTACCTTCAAAACACCACTACATGTTTCAAGCAATCCTCCGAATGTCACCACGGCAGCTTACGTCACTCAAAACACTGATAACGTGTTCTATCAGTAAGCTGGAAACATCAGTAAGCTGAACGCCCCACCCAACCCGACCCAACGCTCTG